AAATCCCCTCCTAGCGGTGAACCATTGAATTGAACAGTTATGGAAGCCACACTGATCAACACCATCCTTACACTCAGCTAATCAGATTCAAAAACCAGAACTGTTGTATTATTGGTCACATGTACATATCGTATTAAGTTTCTCTCTGTATATGAATCTGCTAAGCAGGCAATTAACCTACATAAAAATGGATGTTTATTTCTACAGTATCAGAGTAGACATTTATTGCCACTCTGTTGTTTCTGGGACAGGTGTCTGGCTGGATGTTGCCTGGTCCCCTTCTGTATGAATCGCTTCAAAGATGTCGCCCACAGGTGTCCATCCTGCCACAAAGATATCTGTTCAGTAAACAGGATTTGAAGCAAAAAGTAATACAGTTATTAATCTGTAACAACATGACTGTGAAAACCTCCAGAAGAGCTTGAAGCTGAGCACAGGACACTGTCAGGCCTGTTTTTGCAGCAAAAAGGATTTTTATCTCTTTGCTGGGGAAGTCAATATGTAGACTTTGAGATGTGGCAAAACTACATGTACAAATGAATTAATCTATAGTCAAGTTAAGCAATTAATAATGGACTATTAACATTAAGAGGATCTAATGTGCTACACTAATATTGTGCTAGTGGCCACCAGTCATTTGTATTAATCACTTCCAATAGGCTTTTAGGGTGGTAGAATCAGTCATGACTAGTGGTGGAAGAAGTACACACCATGCACTACTGGCTCATTTTGAGTGAGACATGACCAAATCATTGGTTTAGACTCACTCCGACCAGACTGAATCAGAGTTGTTAACTCCTGCATTTGGATCAGTTGAATTCACAATTGACTCAACTCATCAAGAATCAATTCATTCACCAAATGACCATCACTATCACGACTTGGAGAGGGTCACTACAAAATAAGTAACAAGTACAAAATAGTACTTATAGTAGGCTTAGTATATCATACATATATACTACAAGTACAAATTTTTCATATACACGGGATCTAGTACATTTTTTTTTGTTTGAAATCATTCACCAGTCATGACCAGTGAGGACAGTAGCACATTTGGATAACAATCCAGTCCCTTGAAACAAAATATGTTTATCATTGCAACATCTCGTTAAATGATATCCAAATAAAAATTCCCAAGTTTGAGTGACATTTGTGATTCTACTACTACTTTGCATTTACGTCAGAGTTAGATAGACTGGAGAACTGTAATAAGAGGAATATAAATGTCACTATGTAAACAATGGATTTGTTTTTGTACACGAAACTTTCTAATACATCACGGAGTCCAATTTCCATTTGAAAATATGTATAATGTTAAATATTCAGAATATAAAAACAATGGTTTCAGCAACTCTTATGACAAAAATAAACAAAAACAGACACAATTTTGAATGTCATTCCTCTGATATATTTAAGAGACTCTAAAGCATCCTCTACGACAGTATTTTCACAATACATCAATTTTCATTGACACGTGATGGCATATATATACTCATATCTTTAAAACTATTCACAAAATAGAGCTCATGGATGCACCAAACATGTATAAAAATATGTATTACATCCATTAAAATATATACACAATGTGCAAAACATATGGCATACAAATGATGATTGATCTCCCGCTTTGGAGCATGTTCAAAGGTGGCAGTAAATATCACCCAGAGTCATCACCACTGATACATAATATACATCAATGTGTGGTAAAAAGCATGACATCCAGATGAGTCCAGCAGACGTTACTGAAAATAAGGAGCTAGGATTCCTAAATCTCTACATGAAGCTTAACACAAGCTGAGCTTTGACATCCTAAATGGCAAAAACACAAGCCATGGGTTTCTAAAGCTCAGCCAGAACAGGCATCCATGCAAACAGTTGATGTAAAACTGAAATGATGCTCTGATATCTGATCTACTGCATATACTGTATACAATACAGCACTGTATATAAAACACAAGTTATTGCTTTACTCTCCAACTGCACTATGAAACAGCAAACGGGACTCTTATATCGACTCTTTTCATCTTTAAACTTTTTACAATCAACTAAATTCAATGCAGATTAACATTTTTCTCCAACAGAAAAATCCTCAACCATCTACAATACCGTTCAAAAATTTGGGGTAAGATTTTTTTAAAAATGTTTTTGAAAGTCTCTTATTCTAGCAACTGTATGTATTTTTTAATGTATTTTTGTGACTTTGTAGCCTTCTAAAGTACACGTGATTTGTTGCTTCCGCAAAGCAATCTGCCCTTTTCATAGAATTTCATACCGACTCACCAAACTTATATACTCCTAGAACAAACATTCAGGGGCAGGGGGGATGGGACAGAAGCCATCGCCTTATTAGAAGTCAGTATACAATCAAAAATTATATTTCAAGACCTTACATACAACTGCTTTAAAATAACTGGTTTCTATTAAATAATACAGTTTAAAATGATTTATTCCTGTGAAGAAGCTGAATTTTCAGCAGCCATTACTCCAGTCTTCATTGTCAAATTATCCTTAAGAAATCATTCTAATATGCTAATTTGGTGCCCAAGAAACATTATCAATACTGAAAACAATTCATATTTTTGTGGAAACCATGATACTGTTTTTTTCAGGTTTCTTTGATGAATAGAAAGATGAAAATAACTTAATTTATTTGAAATATAAACGTTTTGTAACAAATGTCTTTACTGTTACTTTAAATCAAGTTAAGGTGCCCTTGCTGTATAAAACACTTACCCCGAATTTCTGAACGGTACTGTATGCATCTACATGAAGCGGCATAGTACAATATTTGGCCTCTTTGTTTATAAGTTTTAATGCCACAGAAGGCCTAAAACAAAAGAGGCATCACATGACAGAAACCTAGCAAGGTCAGTGTATTATATTCTTTCTCCTCCACTTGCTTGTCAGAGTAATAGTTTGCTAAAATATTGCACCAGGTTGCATTATAACAGCAGTCAGCAATGCCAAAAACTGCTCTGAACAGTCAGGCACATGCATTATTCCTTATTATCTGACTAAATTTGCCCCTAAAGCTAAACATAGACGTGAAAGATTATACTAGCTAGGACTAGTATTTGGCATTTTTTTCTTCCCTGGAGAGGCCACAATTTGAACAGTATGCAGAGTGAACAGTACAAAGCCTTAAAAACAGAGCCGATGAGCATTGTTAATCGCTCGACTAGTAAGCAGACGACACACGTAACACTGAATCACAAAAAGCTGATAAAAGATCTCTTTTATAAAAGCTCATCTGTAAAGGTGCTTTGAAGCTGTGCGGTTGATCTAACTAACTGTGATGAGCAGTTCATCACTGCAGCAGGAAAAGTGTTGTACATCTTGTACAAATAATGTATGTCCCTTTGGATCAAACATAACTCGCTTTACATAAATGAAAGATGAAAAAAATGTTAGTTCAAAGCCAGTGGACGCGTGTATTGCCTCGCTGAATGGAAAGGTGTCTCGTCAGAGCACGATTTATATATTTATATATATCAGAAAGGGCTAAACAGAAGGAAAAACAACAAGAGGTTGTTTCTCTGAAAGACATCACATTAATTTGATTATTCACATGCTGCCAAGATATTTGCAAATATAAAATGTTGTTCATTTACACAGATATTTCATTTGGATGGTCTATAGCAATTTCGAACAGTACAACTTGAACATAAAGGCAGTAAAACAGACAGAGACGCTCAGCCAAACAAACACATGCACCCACACGCAAATATTTAGTATAGGAACCTGACAAAACATGCCTGTTAAAAATGTCTGAACACCAATGTAGACAAATCTGGATCAATTAGTTCTCTGATTCCCTCAACAAACGAATTCTTAAGCTGCAAGTGACATTTAACATGGAGTAAAGTCATCAGTTACCACTTCAACTGTCCGGTTCACTTCTAAAACCACAGAGAGCTTTACATTTTCAAAACTCCAGGAGGAATAAATCACTATCATGTGATGTTGTCCAGGAGTACAAAGATGCCCTGTGTTCATACATTATATATAGTGCTGGTCGAGATCACTTTATTTAGTGTCAACTGTCACTTCTGATGGCTTCATTTACATAATCTGATTGCAGCGTCTCTGACGGAAATTTGTTCCATGGCATCGAAAATATGCAAATAAGTCAGAACTCAAAATATAGCGACCACTGTGAGAACCGAACTGAGAGAAACATTGGAAAAAATCTGGAACTTCTTTTACAGTATGATGCACCTAAAGTCAATTGGGTCAAAACACACAACATTCCACTGAAGTGATGAACAATCACACACAGACAAGGGGTCGGACATCCAACAAGTCAGACAAAATTGTTTTTTCTTTTTGCTTTTCTTTTTTTTATACAGATATTTGTTCTTATAGATTATTTACATAAAATTAGATTAATTTCAGACCATTTCACAATGGTATAGTGGAACCTATCGCCTGTTAATCGAAATGGGATGTTTTTTGGCTGAAATTGAGATGACAAATTAACTGAAACAAAATTTCCATGTGTCCAGGATTAAAAAAAAAAATGTCTGCAATTCTCAGATCCAAATCAAACCAAATGCTCTTTGCAACCTCATCCAAGATTGGCAATTATGTTTACAGAAAATCTGCAATTGTAGCCAGTCATCTTTCAAACAATATCAAAACAAAACGCAAATTTCCTAAAGAAGTTGGTAAGTGATATGTTAAATAGATCTTCATCAAACTATACTAGCATTTGACAGTTTAGGGTCGGTAAGACTTTTTGTTTTGTTTTTGAAAGAATTTGAATGCTCACTAGGCTGCATTCGATCAAAATACAGTAAAAACAGTACAATTGAGAAATATTTCTACAATATAAAATTTCTATTTTTTAAAAGTTTTCTATTTTAATATAATTTAAAATGTCATTTATTCCTGTGATGACAAACCTGAATTTTCAGCAGCCATAAGTCCTCAGTGTCACATGATCTTTCAGAAATTTTTCATATTCATTTTTTTCTGATGCATAGAAACATTTAACCATATTTTGTAACATTATAAATGTCTTTTGATCAATTAAATGGACCTTTCCTGAACAACTCAATTAATTTCTCTTTTAAAACAATCTTACTGACCCCAAACTTTTGAATGGTAGTGTATTTGCCAGCGAATCTTGCAGACAACAGGCTGTTCAGTTGCTGCAGTCAGCGGTGGAAAAGGGGATTCTGGGAAATGTGGCTTAGGTTGAATCTGACATTTTCATCCTCCACACAGACACTCATGATTACGTACAGGAGCACTAATGGCGTCATTGCTCAAGGCTCAATTTTGCACAAACAAAGTGAACTCTACTGTGATGCCACATCGTCTGGAACTGACAGCTTACCCTTCCTTAAAATTAGCTGTGAGGATATTTAGAGACTCACTGCAACCAATCTGATGTCAATGGCACATCAATGAAAAAAACAAAATAGCAATACAGCAGAATTCCATCTGCCCAAAAGCAGCTCCCTCTCAGAATGGCACAGCAAAGAGAGCACATTCAGGACCTAGCCAGCATTACCCACAAGGCTCATGTGTCTGATCAAACAAGAGCAATAATGTGAAAGAGAACAGATGGTGATTAGAACCAGCATAAGTGAAGTGTACAGCTGAGCTGGAGTCTAGTCACATATAGCTGCCAGGCGTGAACCGCCGCCACACTGACAATCCCTTCTTCCCCTACTGTACGCCCCACAGACACACAGTTTGTTGTGCGAGTGAAAGTATAACCGTGTTTGAAGCGATTCCTCTCAGTCCCAGTGCAACTGCAGGTCATGAGTGTCCAGGAATTCAGAGGTGATGCCCAATGGATTGAGTCCGCCAATGGGCCCAGGCATTGTGAGGTCCAGCCACTCCATGTTGTCCAGGCCAGTGTCTTGGAGACTAAAGGACAGGGAGGAGGAGGAAGGTGGAGGTGGGTCGGTGAATCCCAGCTCGGACGTGTCCATTGGGGAGTTTGACTGCTCCAGTATCTGGTTTTGCAGCTCCTCCAGTAGGCCCAAAGTCCTCTGCTCCGGCTCTGCGTCCCCCACCAGCGTGCCCTCCAGCAGAGCCTCCAACTGGTTGTCAGAGTCCAGGGAGGCCAGGCTGGGCATGGGTTCCAACATCAGCGCCGGCGGGGGTGCCATCTGCACCTGGGCAGGTGGTCGGGACAGGGCGGTGTTGATGGGCAGGGTGGTGATGCTGGCCGTAACGGGCATCATCTTAGGCACAGATGGGTCCTGTTGACTAAAGGGAGTGATCTCTGCAGAAAATAAAATAAAAGGGGTGGCACAAGAAATTAAAAGGTTGACAAAAAAAGTTAAATGGATCATCAAACTACACAAAAAGTTCAAAAGTTTAGGGTAAGGGATTTTTTCTTTTTTTTCTTTCTTTTATGCAGCCATTACTCCAGTCTTCAGTCTCACATGATCCTTCAGTAATCATTCTAATACGTTTATTAAGAAATTAATACTGTTATTCAAGTTTCTTGAACACCAAGTTCAATAAACATGAATAACAGTATTAAATTCTTTCAAAAAAGAAAATCTTACTGACACCAAACTTTTGAACGGTAGTGTATTTGCCACTGAATCTTGCAGATGCCAGGCTGTTACTGCAATCAGCGCTGGAAAAGGGGCTTCTGGGAAATGTAGCCAGGATGAGTCTGACATTCTCAGCCTCCACACAGACAATTTTGAAAATAAACATCTGTATCTGGATTTATAGTTTGAGTTGACAAATGAACGTGATCTATTGTAGTCTGCAGCAAAATGACAAACTCACCTCCACTTTCTATTAAAATGTCAAAGAGATCATCCATCTGTTGACTCGTTGCTGTGGGAATCTGCAAATTGACAAAAAATGAAAATTACTTTTCAATTCAAGGTAGGGGTGAGCGATATACCGGTAGACACGATTAACCGGTAGACACCGGTTGTGCTACGTGGTCACGAAAACTGACTAACGTTTACACACGTTTTTAAGCATTGCGGTTTAAAAACAAGTGATTTTAAGCTGTTGAAACGCAATAAGCAGCGAAAGACAACTAATTTCGCTATATGCATGTGCTGTCTGAGAGTGTTTCTGAGCACTGTCAGAGAGACCCGCGCACATGAAGACGCTGCTCATAGAGCATGGGAGTTATTTTGCCACTTTATAGGCCTTTGACATACTTGTACGTGTCAAAATGAAAAAGACATGTCTTTGCAAGTATCCTCATAAACACAGTAACTTAAGTTTTAAGTGAAAACATGTGTAACAGTATATCCAGGAATTCAGAGGTGATGCCCAATGGATTGAGTCCAACGATGGGCCCAGGCATAGTGATGTCCAGCCACTCCATGTTGTCCAGGCCAGTGTCTTGGAGACTAAAGGACAGGGAGGAGGAGGAAGGTGGAGGTGGGTCGGTGAATCCCAGCTCGGACGTGTCCATTGGGGAGTTTGACTGCTCCAGTATCTGGTTTTGCAGCTCCTCCAGTAGGCCCAAAGTCCTCTGCTCCGGCTCTGCGTCCCCCACCAGCGTGCCCTCCAGCAGAGCCTCCAACTGGTTGTCAGAGTCCAGGGAGGCCAGGCTGGGCATGGGTTCCAACATCAGCGCCGGCGGGGGTGCCATCTGCACCTGGGCAGGTGGTCGGGACAGGGCGGTGTTGATGGGCAGGGTGGTGATGCTGGCCGTAACGGGCATCATCTTAGGCACAGATGGGTCCTGTTGACTAAAGGGAGTGATCTCTGCAGAAAATAAAATAAAAGGGGTGGCACAAGAAATTAAAAGGTTGACAAAAAAAGTTAAATGGATCATCAAACTACACAAAAAGTTCAAAAGTTTAGGGTAAGGGATTTTTTCTTTTTTTTCTTTCTTTTATGCAGCCATTACTCCAGTCTTCAGTCTCACATGATCCTTCAGTAATCATTCTAATACGTTTATTAAGAAATTAATACTGTTATTCAAGTTTCTTGAACACCAAGTTCAATAAACATGAATAACAGTATTAAATTCTTTCAAAAAGAAAATCTTACTGACACCAAACTTTTGAACGGTAGTGTATTTGCCACTGAATCTTGCAGATGCCAGGCTGTTACTGCAATCAGCGCTGGAAAAGGGGCTTCTGGGAAATGTAGCCAGGATGAGTCTGACATTCTCAGCCTCCACACAGACAATTTTGAAAATAAACATCTGTATCTGGATTTATAGTTTGAGTTGACAAATGAACGTGATCTATTGTAGTCTGCAGCAAAATGACAAACTCACCTCCACTTTCTATTAAAATGTCAAAGAGATCATCCATCTGTTGACTCGTTGCTGTGGGAATCTGCAAATTGACAAAAAATGAAAATTACTTTTCAATTCAAGGTAGGGGTGAGCGATATACCGGTAGACACGATTAACCGGTAGACACCGGTTGTGCTACGTGGTCACGAAAACTGACTAACGTTTACACACGTTTTTAAGCATTGCGGTTTAAAAACAAGTGATTTTAAGCTGTTGAAACGCAATAAGCAGCGAAAGACAACTAATTTCGCTATATGCATGTGCTGTCTGAGAGTGTTTCTGAGCACTGTCAGAGAGACCCGCGCACATGAAGACGCTGCTCATAGAGCATGGGAGTTATTTTGCCACTTTATAGGCCTTTGACATACTTGTACGTGTCAAAATGAAAAAGACATGTCTTTGCAAGTATCCTCATAAACACAGTAACTTAAGTTTTAAGTGAAAACATGTGTAACAGTATATTGGATCCGGGGCTGTCTGTCATGTTCATGTTAATCAAACAACAAAAGAGAAAAAATCTCACTGCACTTGACTAAATCACTTTTGCAACTTTAATAAGAAGAAATATATATTTAATTTAAACAGTGAAGAATATGCAGTGTTTTTATCAGGGTTCCCACTCTTTCATGAACACCAGATTCAAGGACTTACAAGGACTTTTTAAAGCACCAATTATTTTTATCAAGCAACTATCAAATTCACACCCCAGAACCAAACAAAGTAGTTTCGCTTTCACAACGAAACACACAGCCTCTGCAGGACATGGCGGCGGCGGCAACAAGAATACTACAACAAGAATAAAAGTTACACCTTCTTTCTTTGCGTGAACATTTGGGCGGCGTTATGCAAATCTTCCCACATAGTGAGGTA